GGGGGGTGCGGGGAGCCGGGCACAGCCGGGGGACGTTCTTGGAGGGGCCGGTGCTGGGAGGCTGGCGGGCGTCTGCAGGGGAGGTGGCTTGGGGCAGACCTGGGGAAACGCACCGCGAGCGGTCCCGAGGCCCTCGAGGGCCCGCGCGGTTCCCCTGAGGGAGGCCAGCGTGCTCAGCTCCGAGGGGCGGCTGTGAGGGCGGGCTGTGGCGGAAGCCGGCTCAGGCAGCGGGCCAGCGGGTGGGTTTCAGGAGTCAGCTGGCTCCTGGCCGCACGGTCCCTGAGGCCAGAAGGCGTGGCTTCAGTTTTGAACTCGAGGGGCCTCCAGAATCTCCGGGAAGTTTCAGCCTTGGCTTAGTGGGGTGCTGAGCTGGGCGTGGCTCGTATGCAGGTGTGGGGGAGGGTCCGCAGGAGGGGCGGGGAGAGAGGACCCAAAAAGGAGGACTTCAGGCGACTCTCCCATAGGCAGTTACGCCCTGAGGAGAAGGAGGTGCCGGCCGGGAAAGAGGCGCAGGAGGGAGCCGGGGTGGGGGGGCGTTGGGCTGAGAGCAGGCGGGAGAAGGCAGAGGCACAGGCACGGGGCGTCGTGCAGGTGGAGGACGCCTGGGCCCCAGGGGCGAGCTCTCTTCACCCCGCGCCTGACGTGGCCAGACCAGGATGCTTCCCAGGAAGGAGACGGCAGAGGTCTGGGGTCGGGGAGGCTGCCCCACAGAGCAGTCTCTTGGGCGCAGCGGAGCCGGGGCAGGGGCTAGGCTCACCTGGGCTGGTGGGCCTGGCTCTGTTCCAGAGGGTGAAGTTGACGGGTCCCAGCGGCTGGAGGAGGAGGAGCTTCAGGGCTGCCTGGGCCGGCGGAGGGTGAGCAAGGTGAGCGCAGCGGCTGAGCGTGTGTGCCGCCTCCCTTGCCCGCCAGTGCCGCCCCGTCCCCTCACACCTAGGCCCCCACGGGGCGACTGTGCCCACAGTGGAACCGGCGCAATGACGTCGGGGAGACCCTGCTGCACCGAGCCTGCATCGAGGGCCAGCTGGGCCGCGTCCAGGACCTCGCGAGGCAGGTGGGCCCACTGCCCCACCCCAGTCGCCCTGCGGCCATAGCAGGGGCTCTTGCTGGGGTCCTGTCTCCCCAGGGGCCGGAGCCGGCACTGGGGACTCTGTACTTGTTGTGGCGAGTGTCTCCCTCACTCTGGTGTGATCTGGGCCAGGCTCGGGGGTGGGTCCCGGGGGCCCTCCTCAGGCTCCAGAGCCCCAGGGCAAGGCCAGGCTGGGGGCTACTTGGGGCCAGGCTCGTTCCCATTCTTTGTCACAGGGCCACCCCCTGAACCCTCGGGACTACTGTGGTTGGACACCCTTGCACGAGGCCTGCAACTACGGGCATCTGGGTGAGTGTGGGGCTGGGGGCTGCTAGCATACGACAGGGAGAGGGAAAGGGTCCCTCCCAAGGAAGGGCTCGGGAGCTGGCTCATACCCCCTGTCCACAGACATCGTCCGTTTCCTGCTGGACCATGGGGCCGCGGTGGATGACCCGGGTGGCCAAGGCTGTGAGGGTATCACTCCCTTGCACGATGCTCTCAACTGTGGCCACTTTGAGGTGGCCCAACTGCTCATCGAGCGAGGAGCATCCGTCACTCTCCGAACCAGGAAGGTGAGCACAGACGCGGGCCAGGCAGGCGTGGGCCGCACGCGGTTGGCGGTACTGCCACTGCCAGCCCTGCTTAGCTGGGTACCCCACAGGGCCGCAGCCCGCTGGAGACGCTGCAGCAGTGGGTGAAGCTGTACTGCAAGGATCTGGATGGCGAAACGCGAGAGAAGGCTGCTGCCATGGAGACGCTGCTCCAGGCGGCCTCTTCGGGCCAAGGCGAGCGGGGACCTCCTCTGCTCCTGAGGACCTCGCTCCGTAGCCTGAGGGTCCCCGGGCCCTGGGTGGCGGGGATGGTGCCAGGCACTGCCTCACAGTAGATTCGATCTCTCTGCAGCTCCCCACAGCTCCCTGGCTCCCCCGACCATCCCAAGTAACCATCTTTTTGACCCTGAGACCTCTCCTCCCTCAAGTCCCAGCCCAGGACCCCCAGAAGGCTGTCAGGCCAGTGCCAGGGTCCCCCAGGGGCTGGCGGTGCCAGCTGCAGCCAGGCCTTGGAGGAGCAGGCACAAGCTGGCCAGCAGTAGCAGCTCGGATGGGGAGGACAACCCAGGCCCGCCCCAGCCAACCCAGAAGAGGCCCCGGCACTCTGGCCCGTCACTGCCCGCCACGGCCCGGATGCCCGGCCCCGCCAGTGACGGGGAGGCAGCCACAGCGAGTGCCGGCTGGGCAGCCTACCGGGCGGCCATCCGCAGTGTGGGCAGTGCCCAGAGCTGCCACCTGGGCCCCAGTCCCCCTCGAGGCCCCGGCGAGGCCCCCAGCCCCCGGGCGGCGCTCCTCCCTGAGGAGGAGTGCTTGGCCGGGGACTGGCTGGAAGAGGACTTGCCGCTGGCCCACGGTCATGGGGGCAGCCACCCGCCCCGCCCCCATGGCAGTGCGGATGGCAGCAGACACAGTGCCTCGGGGTCAGGCAGTGAGGTGAGCGCCATCAGGCCTCGGGCCCGGGCCAGGAAGAGCCGGCTGTCCTGTCTCAAGAGTTGGAGTGCACGGGTCAGAGCAGATGGAGCCTATAGCTCAGCCGCAGAGCCCCCGCGGAGCCCTGATGTCCCCAGGGCCTTGGGGCCCATTGGGGGAAACCCTACAGCAGGCCAGCCCTTGGTGGGTGTGCAGGCCTGGAGCGGAGCTGCCTCCCAGGCTGGGGCGGTTGGGGGTAGTGGGCAGGGGGCTCCGTCTTTCCTGACTCAGGCTGTTCTTCCCTGCCCGCACCTGCTAGGGTCAGGCCCTGCTCCCTCCCATCCGAGTTCGAGTTCGTGTTCAGGATAATCTTTTTCTCATCCCCGTTCCACACAGGTAAGGTGTCAGCTGTCTTCTCCCAACTCCTGGCCCCCTCTGCGCCTCTGCGGGTTCTGGGCCAGGGGATGGTGCCCAGGGGCAGCAGAGGGCCCTCATGGCTGTAGATGGCGTGGGATGTGCAATGCGAATCCCTCTGGTTTTCTACCCCACCTCTGAGGGGCTGGTAGCTGGGGGAGGTGATGGCAGACACAGGCTCAGGGAGGCCCTGCGTCCCTAGAAACGGCCCGGAGGTGCTGCATGTGTGCAGGGGGCACTGGCATGTCGCACGTAGGGGCAGGGGGAGATGAAGGAGCCAGACGAGGGAGCTGTGGACGCCAAGCTGGGATGGCAGGACCCCGGGGGCCGCTCCTCAACATGTGCAGGAACCTGGCCAGGTCCAGGACTCAGCTCGACCTCTGTCCCCACAGCAGGGAGACCCACTCCGTGGCCTGGCTGGCTGAGCAGGCCGCCCAGCGTTACTACCAGGCCTCTGGGCTGCTGCCTCGGCTCTCCCTACAGAAAGAGGGGGCCCTGCTGGCCCCACAGGACCCCATCTCCGACGTGCTGCAGAGCAATGAGGAGGTGAGTGGCAGGCCAGGCCCTGAGTTCGGGGTGTTCGCCAATGCTGGATGCCGGGGGCTGCACACCGCTGGTGCTTTCCAGGTGTTGGCTGAGGTGACTTCTTGGGACCTTCCCCCGCTGAAGGACCGCTACCGCCGGGCCTGCCAGAGCCTGGAGCAAGGTAAGGGCCCAGGGGGCCCTGCGGCGGTGGCCTGGGCAGAGGGCTGGGTGTGGGGGCTTCACCTGCCCGTGCCACTCCCAGGTCCGCGGGCCTCGACTCCCAGGACCCCAGGTGTCCACCAGGGTTCCTTCCCAGCACACCTGTTCTCGGCTTTTCCTCCCTTACCTAGCGGCCCTGTGTGTAGGTAGTGGGGTGGGGTGGGGGAGATTGGCCCCGTCTGGAGGCAGATGAGCGCCACCCACCGGCTGTGCAGCGTGGCTCTTGGGCCATGGGGTCCACAGGCCTCTGGTGGCGGCCGCAGGGCTCGTGAGTGAGGAGGGGCTGCCTGGTTTGCCTCTCGTGACGCACAGGGCAGGACAGGCAGGCTCTGGCCCTGGTGACGCCACGTTCCCCCTCCAGCGGTGCACCAGCAGGTGCTGCAGGCGATGGAGCGGCAGGGCTCAGGCCCCGCGTTCAGTGCCTGCTCCCTGGCGCTGCGCCAGGCCCAGCTCACCCCGCTGCTGCGGGCCCTGAAGCTGCACTCAGCACTCCGGGAGCTCCGCCTAGCCGGGAACCGGCTGGGGGATGGATGTGTTGCCGAGCTGCTGGCTGCCCTGGACACCGTGCCTGGCCTGACCCTCCTCGACCTCTCCTCCAATCACCTGGGCCCTGAAGGGCTGCGCCAGCTTGCTGTGGGTCTCCTGGGGCAGCCCGCCTTGCAGGTAGAGGCGTGGGGAACCGCGGACCGGTACCAGGGCAGCATCTGAACGTCCACATTTAGCCCATCCCTGGGTGGGAAGGTGCGGTTGAGAGTGCTGGCCAGTACCCAGCTCCGGGTGGCCCAGACCAGATCCTCTGGGGAACCCATGTCTCCACAGAACTTGGAAGAGCTGGACTTAAGCATGAACCCCCTCGGGGATGGCTGTGGCCAGGCCCTGGCCTCCATCCTACGGGCCTGCCCCTTGCTCAGCACCCTGCACCTCCAGGCCTGTGGCTTTGGCCGCAGCTTTTTCCTGAACCACCAGGCGGCCCTGGGCAGCGCCTTCCAAGGTGAGCTGCCCGGCACGTCCACTCCCCGGCCCCAAGGGCTCAGAGAGCCTCAAGCACAAGGACTCCTAGGGCACGAGCCTAGCTTTCGGGAGCACGTAGGTAGACATGCAGGTGCTGGACCTGTCTGGACTCAGAGGGACGTCGGGTGCTTGCCTGGCCTGGGCGGCCCCCTCAGGACACAGCCCCAGTCCCAGCTACGCTGCAGGCCAGAGCCCCAGCCCCACAGCTCTCACCAGGTCTGAGCATCCCATTTGCCGGAGGCAATTCCACCACAAGCCTACGGGGGCTTCAGAGACCCGCCATCCCAGCACTGAGAAGCTGGAAACTCGTGTCCTCTAGGGGACTTTCCACAGAGCTATGAGCACAGCAGCAGGGGAGGAGGGGTCTGGGACTGGGGTGGCGGACAGAGTACTCCGCGACCCACCCCACCACGTGTGGATGTCCCAGCCTAGGGCCTGTGTCAGGTCACCTGGGGCCATCCTGTTGTGAGTAGGGGCAGGTAGAGGACCCAGAAATGGTGGGAAGAAGCTGGGCTCAGGAGTCCAGTTCTGCCCCCTCCCCACTGGGAGACACTGGGCCAGAGCCACCCCAGTTTCCCTGCACACCAAACCTCAGAGACGAGGACGGCTTCCCGAGGGTCACAAGGGTTCTGGGCCCAGGACTGTGTGGCAGGGCTGGGGGCGGCGGCACGCGGGCCTGACAGAGGTTCTGGCCCTTGGTATAGGCGCCAAGTGCCTGAAGACACTGTCCCTGTCCTACAACGGCCTGGGTGCCTCCGCCCTGGCCCAGGCCCTGCAGAGCCTGCCAGCCCGCACCCTCCTGCGCCTGGAGCTGAGCTCTGTGGCCGCCAGCAAGAGTGACCCAGGCCTCACGGAGCCCGTGGTCAGCTACCTGACCAAGGTATGCGGTCAAGGAGGGACACTAAGCCAGAGGCACCTTGGGCCACCCAGGATTGGCGGGTGGTGCTGGGAAAAGGCTTGCACGTTTGGAAAAAACAGAGGTGGGGAAAGCTTTCTGTAGACCTGCCTGCCTCAGGCTGTGAATTCCTGGCCAGCAGGAAGGACAGCTGGGATCCAGGGAGGCAGGGAGGGCAGGTGCCCCACTCAGGCCGGCTACCCTTGGGCCTCCGCTGTCTAGGAAGGCTGCGCCCTGGAGCACCTGGGCCTGTCGGCAAACCACCTGGGCGACGAGGCTGTGAGAGATCTGAGCAGGTAATGCCAGCCAGTTCGTGCCACCACCATCCTGCAGGGGTTCTGATCTCAGGGCCCAGGAGCCCGGGGAAGCTGGGGCTCCTTGCCCCAGCGTGCCCCGAGGCCTGGCTGCCAGCCACTAGCCTGCCTCCTGGCTGGCCCTCGTGTCTCTCTTCATGTTCCCACGGCTCTCAAGACTCTTTCTCTCTGGTGTGTCCCCTTCTGTCACCCTTTGTCCAGCAGCCCAGGCAAGGGCCACTGCTTCTGTGGCCCTCCAGCCTCAGCTGGCTCGCAGGAGTGTGAGGCACCCGTGCCAGGCTGTGGGCAGAGCCTGTGGTCCTGGCCTGCAGCTCCCTGAGCCTTGGGGTCACCTGGGGCAGCTTCCCCTCGTGATGGAAGCTGACCCCCAGGCTTCTTCCCTGTCTCAGATGTCTGCCTCTCTGCCCCTCGCTGGTCTCGCTGGACCTGTCTGCCAACCCCAAGATCAGCTGTGCCAGCCTGGAGGAGCTCCTGTCTGCCCTCCAAGGGCGGTCCCAAGGCCTCAGCTTCCTCAGCCTGTCAGGTGAGCTCTGGGTATGGTGGCTACACCTGCCACACCGGAGCTGGTGACACAGCTCCCTCCTTGAGGACCTGCCTTAGGCCCAGGTGCCTCCTCTGAAGGGGCCGTCACTGCCACCAGCCAGACCGCAAGGGTGGGCTGGGCCCCTTGGGGTCGCCACAGTGGAGGACGGTGACCAGTGTGACTGGAAGCAGGTGTGAGCCTCGCTCCTCAAACCGTAGGGCGGGAGGACCGTGGGCCTCTGCCTCTGGCCTGGTCAGCCTGACCCTCGAGACCATGGCCGGGGGACCCAGTGCCATGGGGACTTGCTCGTTCCTGTTGTCCAGAGGGAGGGACGTCGGGCTAGGGTGGCAATACCTGCCTCTGAGGGACCCTCCCGCTTCCTGGCCAAGGCTGCCCTGACCCTACCGTCCAGGCCTATGGCCTGACTTAGCTGGTTTCTCTGGCCATGCCCTGGTGCAGGACCCTACCAGAGCTGTCTTGAGAAGGACCCCAGGGAGGTGCATTTGGTGAACTGGCCACCCAGCGGCCTGGCACATCCTGCTGGGGCCCAGGGCAGGGCAGACCAGGCTGTGCCCTCTAGGAGAACAAGGGCTGGGAGTGGGTCTACACGCAGGGGACCCCTGGGTTCTTCCTGCTCCTTGCCCACGGGCCCACAGGGCCAGGCTGGCTCCTCCAGGAAGGACCCCCTGAAGGTGGGCTGGTAGGAGACCTGCGCTCAGCTGAGGGGCTGCTCCCCACACACCTGGCTTCTTGGCACCTGCACCCTCTCACCAAACTCCCTGGGTCGTGAGCCTGCTGGGTGTTCTCTGGTCTCTCTGAGGATTGAGCCTTGTAGCTCAGTGTCTTGAGACTCACAGGTAGCCCATTGGGTCCATTTTATGGAGGGAGAGACCCAGGCATCGTCAGACAATGGCAGAGGCACAGATGTGAATGCGGTGTTTACTTTAGCCAACCTCCCTCGTGCCTGACCACTGGCTGGGAAGGGAGTCCACAGTCCTGGGCACACTAGGCCTGGGAGAGCACACTCCTTCCTAGAGAATTATCGGGCCTCTGCTGGCCTTTGCTCATGCCCCTCGCTGCAGCCCTTGGGGCTTCAGAGGAGGTGTGTTTCCTCCCGAGGGCCACACTGGTAAAGAGAAAAGCCCCACAGGGCCCCCTCTACGAACACCACTGGTTCCCGCGGGCCCCCGGCCGTAGCCTGAGGCCTACTCCTGCTTCCCCTCTGCAGGCTGTGCTGTCCAGGGCCCCCTGGGCCTGCGCCTCTGGGACAGCTTGATAGTGCAGCTGCAGGAGCTGCAGCTGTGCAGCAGACGTCTCTCTGCTGAGGACCGGGATGCCCTGTGCCAGCTGCTGCCCAGCCAGCGGGGCCCCAAAGCGCGCACCCTGGATCGGGGGCCCAAGCTTTTCTTCAGGCGCCTCTGACTGGCCGAGCCGTGCCCCGCCCTCCCCACACGCCCAAGCCTCTGATGAAGGAAGCCGCTGCTGCCGCCTCCCTCCCTGCCGCGGCCTTCGGAGGGGTTCACCTCACTGTCAGAGCGCTCTGGAATGAGGCCTCCCTGCCCAATAAGCAGTGAGCCACAACCAGCAGAGAAAGGGTTTATTCATAGGCAGCCAAGTGAGGGGACAGGAGGACACATCTCAGATTGGCTTCCCCAAAGTAGGGGCGCAGGATATTGACGGGATGAAGCAGCAGGCTGGGGGGATTCCCTGGCAGGCCCGTGATCAGCCCTCGAACACTCACTGCCCGACGGCCTGGGCCTGGTTCCATGTTTGGGGAACTAAGATCCTACAAGCTGCGTGGCCAAAAAGAAAGGAGATGGGCAGGGTGATCTTAAGCGTGGGGAGAGGAGGTTGGAGGTAGGAAAAAGGCGACGTAATCTGTGTTCTGCAGAGGCCTGTCTGAATTACCTGCTTCTTCATGGGACCCATGTTAAAAAATGGACATGATCGGGCTTCCCAGGTGGCACAGTGGTTGAGAGTCCGCCTGCCGATGCAGGGGACACGGGTTCGTGCCCCCGCGGAGCAGACTAAGCCTGTGCGCCACAACTGCTGAGCCTGTGCCCTAGAGCCCACGAGCCACAACTGCTGAGCCCACGTGCCACAACTACTGAAGCCCCGGTGACTACAGCCCATGCTCCGCAACGAGAGAAGCAATAAGGAGGCGGCGCACCGCAACGAAGAGCAGCTCCCGCTAGCCGCAACTAGAGAAAGCCCGTGGGCAACAACAAAGACCCAAAAATGAATAAATAAATAAATAAATAAACTTATTTAAAAAAAAAAAAAAAAAAAAAATGGACATGATCTGAGGGTGGGGGTTTAGGCCCTCCGATGTCGAAAGGTCATTCACTGGACACCTGTGCAGGCCCAGTTTTAGGGTTGGTGGTCCCAACCAGTCTTAACTGGCTTGAGCTCAGGCTGGACACAGGTGACTCCGAGTTCCTGGAAAACAACTTGGAGCAAACGTCTTATTTTCCAGGACGTGCACGATTTTGTATCAGCAGTTAAGGTGGGCTTGATCAGTGAAGGCAGGTTACAAGCGGAAGGTTCTTTTTATTGAAGACACTTAACTTGCAGTGTTGTGTTAGTTTCGGGTGTACAGCAAGGCAATTCAGCTCAGTTTTGTATATGTGTATTGTTTTTCAGATTCTTTTCCATTATAGGTTATTAAAAGATACCGAATATAGTTCCCCGTGCTGTACAGTAGGTCCTTGTTTATGGAGTTTTTACGAAGCTGTAAAGACAAGCTCAAGGATTTGTTACCAATTTCTATTAACCCTGTGGGGCACAGTTTCAAGGGCAGATCCGGCCACTTAGAGGCCCTACAGGTGGGGGTAAAGCCTCCCTCCGTTACCTCTTCCGGTTCCTGTCAGGCATGGCTGGATCAGACCCGCAGTGTTATCCCCGGCCCGGCCTCAGCGCGGGGTGGGGGGAAGTAGCCGAGTAAGCCCAGGGGGACCGGCCCCGGCGCTGAGAAAGTGTGCGCAGGCGCGTACGGCGGGGCCCGCGCGCAAGCGCAGACGTCAAGGAGCGCTCCGCCCGCCCCCCCCCCC